TTTGGTGCTGGTGATGTGCTGCTCTCTGGAAATGAAAAGATAACTATGCAGAATCTGAATGACCGTCTGGCTGTGTACCTGGAAAAGGTACGAGCACTGGAAGCGGCAAATTTGGATTTAGAAGTTAAAATCCGAGACTGGTATCAGAAGCAAGGTCCCACCAGCCCAGCCCGGGACTACACCAATTATTACAAGATAATTGAAGATCTCCGAGACAAGGTATGACATTCATATGTAGATAAATTATAAGAATGCATTAAAATTGTGGAACTACATATTCCATTCCTTTAATATAAACTAGAATAATTACAAAATAAATATTGAAATCCCCACACCCAAGTATATTGTGGTTATGAGCCTTTTAGCAGAAAAGAGTAGCTTTTTCTGAATTTCCAAAGCACGTATGTTAACCTGAAGATGTGAAGTTTGTTGAAATTAAAATGATTGCACTAAAAGTTAGGAAAGCATGGCAAAATGTCTTTAGGATTATCAATATACTTATTTAGTAATCAAAGAGTAAAGAATATGATAGGTAGGCCTCAAAGGCTGAAAAAATAATTCTCTTAGCTACAGATCAGATCAGGTGTTGTACAAACGTATTTTCTAATTATGTTTCTAACTTGTTTTACACAAAGGTATCTCAGCTCTCTGGTTCGCATAGGGTACATGGAAAAGAACTTAGCATTTCTGGGTTTTCTCTATAAAAGCTGTAAGAAATACAGTGTGACCAAAGAGCAAGATAACAAATTGAAATGGCTATTGCAATCCAAAAGGCATGTTTAACCAGTGACATCACAACTGAGGTCCATTTTTTTCTACCTTCTTCTATGGTTTACAGCCTCAGTAACTACCTGCTATGTACTTAGGACCCTGATATTTCACCATTATTCATAGGAACCTTTTTCTGTGTTTCTTAATTGCCAGATCCTTGCAGCTACCATTGACAATTCCCGGGTCATTCTGGAGATCGACAATGCCAGGCTGGCTGCCGATGACTTCAGACTGAAGTAAGTTTACCTGGAGCACATTTGTCTTCTTTCTCCTTGTCTCTCTCTCTCAAAATAATTTTCTCAAGTTTAGCATTACTTTTTTCCTAAAAAACAAATTTCTTAAGTCACTGATGGACACATTTTGAAATTATGGATAGGTATTTTTCCTTGGTAACTTCTGATAAAAAAAACCCTTGCAAACTGAATCAACGTGATGAAGGATCAGTTCAGAATACAAATCGGACAGAACACAGTGTCCAGATCTGTTTACATAATAAATTCTAGTTCACGTCTTTATTTTTCAGTGATGCTCTTCACTATTTTTACTAGCCTAAATCATAGTGGAAAAGAAGATAGGAATAGGTTGGCATTTTCACTTCAAAGGAACACAGTGGCATGAAGAGATCGTTCCTCAGTTGGAGCAGTTCTCTCTTAAAGAGTCTGAAATTTAGAAAAGAAAGACAAAGAGTAATTTGGGGCTTAATCAGCTCATGGACTCAGCAGTACATCAGACACTGCCGAAACGATGATAAAGATACTTGTGCAACTGGTTTATCTTGCAGTGATGTACCTGCAGATTTCTATTCTCTCCTCTAGTGTCCTAGGCAGAACTGGGCAATCTGTGCTTTTCTTCACACCAAATTTGAGAGGACACTGCAAATGCACTGTCCTGTGTGACAACTCTTCTATTGATGCTGATCGTCATTACAGGTTTTGCTAAGTGAAATGTCATGTACTGCTCAAGAACAAAATCAGATGGCAATGCATGTACTTTCATATGCCACAGCAGAATGTTGGAAAAAAAGACCTTTACTCCTTCTACACTTCCTTTCAGTCTATATGTTTTCGTTTATAGCCCATTGTTCCTCCTACATTCAATATAAAATTTCACAGCTCTACTGAAGAGGAACTTGTACAGATTCTAGTGCTTGTTTCCTTTTTAAACTGCAGATATGAGAATGAGTTGTTCCTGCGCCAGAGCGTGGAGTCGGACATCAACGGCCTGCGCAGAGTCCTGGATGAGCTGACTCTGTCTAGAACTGACCTGGAGATGCAGATTGAAACACTGAAGGAGGAGCTGGCTTATCTAAAGAAGAACCACGAGGAGGTGAGTCTATAACGGCGCAGAGAGGAAAGTACTTCCCTTTGGAATTTCTGCCTCTCAGGTGGGGAGGGGAAAATCCAAATAAAAAACCCAGAATGACAACATTACAACTTAATAGGAAGAAAATTGTAATATTCAAAAAATCCAGTGTCTTCTGACAAGCACTCCTCTGATTCCAAACTGTCCAGACCTATTAGTTTCAGTTTGACATTCCTAAGCACGACGGGTCACTGAGATAGTTAAGCTGAGTAAAAGAAACATAGGTATGAGCTATGTATAAACATGCATGTGTTGTGAGTGAGTGTACAGAGAGTAGAAAAGCACGTGCAATGAGAGACAAAATTTGATAAAACATTTTTATGTGTGTTCCACCTATGATACCTGATAATAAAAGTACTGTGTACCACTGCACGGATTGCTGATGGAAGGAAGTATTTGAGAAGAGAGAGCTCAATCTTTTCCGTGTCCTCTGCCTTCTGCCCATGCAGGAAATGAAAGAGTATTCAAACCAGCTAAGTGGAACAGTCACCGTGGAAATGGATGCGGCTCCCGGCATCGACCTGACCAGAATTCTCTCTGAGATGAGGGAACAGTATGAAGCTCTGGCTGAGAAGAACCGTAAAGATGCTGAGACTTGGTTCTTCACTCAGGTATAGTTACACTAACCAACAGCAAACTGATGCATTGCCTCATTACTACTGCCCCAGCAGATGGGACGGGCCCTCCCTTTCTCAAAAGAATTAATTTTTTTTTATACAATATGTATGTTATTTTACAGTTGTTTTTTCTTTCAGACTGAGGAGC